CTTTTTGTTTGATTGAATAATAAAAACACAAATTTACCTCCATAAAGTTAAAGATTTATAAAATACCAACAAAAATTCAACATTAGAATGTTTTTGTACCTTTTGTTGATAATATAACTCAGATAAAGCAGATTATTCTGACCATCTGCAGTTCCAGCTGTTTATTTGTACTCTTTTCGTAAAATGTGTTACACTGTAAACAAACTCACTGGATTGTTGCTCTGTGACAGATTTAATCATGAACTGAAGTTCTGACGTCAGTCGAGCTCTTTTTGTTCTTGTTTTCTGTTCTGTTTACACTACTCCAGATACTTTTTGTTTTTAACTTTGATTTTCTGCTGCATGTACACTTCCTGTCTCATTTTAAATTCTAAGCTGAAAACTTTTAGTGAAGGACTTTTCCTAACTGGTGACGTTCCAGCTCGTTTTATTGTTTTGTGTCCTAAAAAACAAACTATGGGACAAATTTGCCGTTTTTATTTAATATTTTTATCTGGACTGTTTTATTAAACTTTAATTAAGGCTAATATCTGAGAAAACTAAATGCTATCAAGAGAAAATATAAAAATTAAGTTATTTTTCTGTTTTGATTATGTCGTTAGTTTGAATGTTCTTTCCCCCTAGAGGTGCTCTGGGGGTATTACACAGTTTTTGTTACAGTTGTGTTGGAGAAAATATTTGCTCAAGAAAAGTAAAAAATATATATCTGGAGTACTGTCCATTGTTTGATTATTAAAGTTGTATTAAGGTCATAAAAACACGATTCCTACTCAGTCTTAAAAGTATGAAAAAATAAACAGAAAAATCCTTCAGACGAGGTTTCAGTGATGGATCTGTTCAAAATAAACGTTAAGTTTCAGTTCACATATAAACCACTTTGTGAATTTAGTTGAAAACAATTTATTTACCAAGTTTAGTTTTTTATTTTGACGAAATGGGAACATAATGTTGAACTGAAGCTGACTGGATCTGTGATTTGTCCCATTTACAGCCTATAATTCAGATTATTAGACTTTCAGAACAGCTTGAAAATCAACTAAGAAAGCTTTGAACTCAAACCTGAAAAGTTAGAACAGACGTCCATAAGAACTCTGTGTAAACATCACATAATATAAACTTTCAGCTCCTGCTGGTCGCATGTCGTCTGAAGCCAAGAAAATAAACATGAAAGATTATTTTTTGTAGTAATTTTTGTGACATTCTGAAGTCTGTAAATAACATAAGAATAAATCAGAAGTTACTCCTGTTACTGCTGTAAAACAGATATGATGTAAATATATCAAAAACAGCTAAAACCACAGAAACAAACCCACTGGATAAAAAGACACAACCGTGTTTTTCTCATTCAGTCAGGGTCACCTGGGCTTTCCAAGGACTGGATCTGAACTTGTGACTTTAACAAACAGGATCAATAATTCTGTAATTATTCAGGTTTTTAGTGAAAAGGAATAATCTGACCTAAAATAAGAACCATTTAGTCTGATTTAATGTCAGAATCACTGGTTATCTTTTTTTTACCATGTATGTAAACATCTGATTGTTTTAAAAACTGTTACCCATGTTTCTGTTTAAAACTGGATTCTGACACATCTGAGGCTTTAAAGAAATAAATGTATTTCTAGATTTTACAGAGAGAAAACGATGTCTAAAAAGCACTTTGTGGATCATCTTCTGTCACGTCACTGTTTCTTCTCAGTTTACAAAATAAAAGAATGTATTTCTCAAGTCAGTCCAAGATGCTTTTATTGTTTTAATTCAATTCTGCTTTTTATTTCAGTCAAAGGGGGTTTAAAAGATGAAAAGTTGGCAGTTCATTTTTTTTCTCGCCTCGTTCCAAAATCCTGTTTATCCACTTAGAAAAGAAAAAAAACTTGTTTATTTTTGTAAACTTTGATGCAACAAATCAGAACCAGTCACTTTGATTGTTTTTCGGCAAGTGGACAGATTTTGGAACTGAGTTGTTATTTTTGTACATTTCCATCTTAGTGGCTAACAGAAATCCACCCACACTTTTCTACGTCTACTCTGCTACACTTTTAAGTCAAGTCAGGAAATCCACCGCGAGGCTACGTAAGTGGCAGCTGTTGGTTCACCAGGAGCTCGGTTCCTTCAGCTCTGTGACCTGAGACGGACCGGTTCCTGCTTTAGAATCCTCTGAAACGGCGCTCCTGTTTGCGAAATAAATACGGCATTATTTTACAACAATGAGTGGAGTCGTGGCTCACAGTACTCGGCGGGAGGAGTAGTCGTATGTTTACACTTGTTCTCTGACAGCCCATAACACAAACACAGTGCCTCTGTATTTACAAGTCCAGTACATTCCTGTCCTTCAGTAGCAGGCACGGTTAAAGTCGGGACATCTACAGGAATACGGGAGGGGATGGGGGCGGAGCTTAGCCACAGAGAGGTCGTCAGCTGGCCAACAACACACATCTGACCACAAACACACAGCTCCACTTTCATCTGCAGTCAAGTCCAGTAAATTAGATGAAAAGTGTATGTCAGATAATTCAGTCAAAACTTTAGAATTGATTTGTACATGCTAACAAGTAGCATCTAAAACACGCTAATCTGTAGCATCAATAACATGCTAACAGGTACCATCTATAAAATTCTTAGTGTAGCATCCATAACAGGCTAGCATGTAACATCTATACCATGCTAGCCTGTCGTATCTATAAAATGCTAACAGGTAGTAACTAAAAACTGCTAACAGATAGCATCTGTAACATGCTAGCATGTATAAAATGCTAACAGATAGCATCTATAACATGCTAGCCTGTAGCATGTATAAAATGTTAACAGGTAGCATTTAAAAAATGCTAACAGATAGCATCTATAACATGCTAGCATGTAACATCTATAACACGCTAGCATGTAACATCTATAACACGCTAGCATGTAGCATTTATAAAATGCTAACAGGTGGCATCTAAAAATGCTAACAGATAGCATCTATAACATGCTAGCCTGTAGCATGTATAAAATGCTAACAGGTAGCATCTATAACACGCTAACAGCATCTATAACATGCTAGCCTGTAGCATCTATGCTAACATGTAGCATCTATAGCATGCTAACAGATAGCGTCTATAACATGCTAGCCTGTAGCATCCATACCATGCTAACAGGTAGAATCTATAACATGCTAAAAGATAGCATCTATAAGATGCTAGCCTGTAGAATCTATGCTAACATGTAGCATCTATAACATGCTAAAAGATAGCATCTATAAGATGCTAGCCTGAAGCACCCATAAAATGTTAGCATGATGTATATTTCCTCCTGTAAACACAGTGCTGTGTGATGTAGCCTACTGGTGGCTTCATGACGGTGGTCTGTCCTTGCTGGAGTCTGATGGAGGTCACGGTTAAATTATAGTGCTAATAAAATCGGACCTGCTGTGTCAATGTCATCTCTGTTTCTGTCTGCGTAAAGTGCGACTAAAAATAAAAATCCACATTATTATTATTATTATTTCAGGAACCTGTTCAAATATTGACTTTTCTAAAACAGTTGTAAATAGTGTTTTGATGCATAAAAAGCAATATTGTTGTGGAGAGGGCAGAGCTTAAGTCCCAACTGCACAAACTCTGGTTCCAAAAATACAACATTAGATGGTGCCTTTCAATTTTAAACAACTGGTTGAGGAAGATGCTTTGCTTCAAAATGCTTATATCATCAACATGTTGATGATATAAGCCACCATTTTAACGTGACGTCATTTTCCTCTCTGAGTCTGTGGTAAAGTCATTTAGTAACGAGTTAGCATAATGTGATGGTGTCAGTGTAGCGGTCCGGGATGATGAACCTCTCTGTGACCAGAACCCAGCACATCAGGTGCTTCAAAAAACAAGACAAGAAGAAATCCAACAACGGGGAAAAGCAGCGGGTGATGGTGATGTAAAAAAAAAGGGCACCGTCAGCTTTGAGAAGGGTGGGGGTGTGAGCAGACACGAGTGGAACAGACTGCTAACATCGAAGCCCCGGCCTGCGTTTCCCCGCAGATTCACGCCGAGCAGCAGCTCAGGAAAAATACGACACAGATATCAGATTTGGTCAAATTTAAAAAGAAATATCCTGCTCGTATTTTAAATTCTGCTGACTCGGGGGGGAAACGAAGCAGTTGAAAAAACATCAGGCACATGTTGAACTCCTTGCAACCCTTCGGCTCATGCTACGATACGTCTGGCAGCACCAAAGATTAGCCTCCGCAGTCGCCGAGAAAAACCAGCGGCCATTTTAAAAAAAATGTCCCCTTGTAATGGAAGGCATAATTCATATCAAGAGAAAGAACTACACATAGAAAAAGAGATATGTCCGTGGAAAGGCGCCATGGTTTAAAACGATGAAGTCTTTTCGCCCCTTTATCCTCCCAGAACAGGAGCAGGAACCAGCGCTGACGGTAGAAGAAAGCGATGAAGCTGCGAACACCTGCAGGAGTCTCACGTCTGAGGAGGAGGCAGTGGGAAGCGCTTTGTCTTTTTTTAATAAGAAAGGACATCAGAGAGCTTAGCTGGCATGCTGAAGGCATTGTTTCGTCCGTTTGGGAGCAGAAGGGTTTGTTTCTGATTCCGGCTTGTTCAGAGAGTCATGGGGGGAGTTGACTTTAAGGCCAACGGGGCTGTCAGAAGCTCTCGGGCTCCTCCAGGAGGCAGGGCTGGGTGGACAGAGGCACCAGGGACGGGGACAGGCTGCGGAGGCCCACCCCAGAGCGAAAGCTGAGGTCCGGTGCGGGCAGCAGGGGCTTGAGGATGCTGACGAGGCAGAAGGCGGAGCCGCTGTTGGGGATGAAGTTGACCTTGTTGCGGTCAGGGCACAGGAAGGGCGGGATCTCCTGCAGGGCTTTGGGCCTAGAAAAAAAATGTCTCAGTCAGTCTTGTGTACAATTCACAATCAGAAAAATGGCCACCAATCATTATTTAGCACTTTGTGATTACTGCCATTGGTGACTTCATTCTGGCCTGGAGCTAATGCTAATACTGACACTGAGCTAATGCTAACATGAAGCACGGAACAATAATAATGAGGAGCTAATGCTAACAAGGAGGGGGTAATGAAGAGCTAATGCTAACATGGAACAACACTAGTGAAGAGCTAATGCTAACTTAGAGGGGCTAACACTAACATGGAACAATTCTAATGCGAAGCTACTGCTAACATTGAACAACACTAATGTGGTGCTAATGCTAACATGGA